GGTAGGCATCTTGTTTTGTTTTTTTATGCGGTATCTTGAACGTGCTCTGTCAGTTTTCATTCAAATTTGGCATATACATGTACTTTATACATGTTAGGATGCATGTCCATGACAATTTGTTTCAAAATCTGGTCAAGGATGGTCGATTGACAACCATCCGACTTTTTGGCTTTACTACTTCCACAATTTATGTACCATTTTCATTCGTATTTGGCACATACATCATACATATCAGTGTGTTTCATAATCAGATCAAAGATGGCTGAATAACGGCTGTTTTTATTTTTGGCCATATTACTACTACACGGAACATGTGTTTTGATGTAAATAAACAATCTGTTGTATACGCTACTTGGAACTCAAGTTTCAAGGACACGCTCATGACGACCCCTCCGCTTTAATATGACGAGCTCAAATAGAACTTTTAACGGGGACTGTGTCATTTTCAATGACTTGTTTTCAGATGACTGTCTGAAATCTCCAAACACTACTACTGTAAACTAGGATGTGTGACTATTTTGTTTACAGTTATGTGGCGAGACATTGTCATTGTGATAGCAAATTGACTAGAAATAGCAACAATGATACATGTATATCATAATACTTTGCTTTAATCAATGATCACAACCCATGCTATTGTGGAATACATAAAGCAGATTCTGAGTGTGAAGGTGTCTGGCTGTGTAGAGGAGTGTTGGGATTCTGAGTGTGAAGGTGTCTGGCTGTGTAGAGGAGTGTTGGGATTCTGAGTGTGAAGGTTTCTGGCTGTCTAGAGGAGTGTTGGAATTCTGAGTGTGAAGGTGTCTGGCTGTGTAGAGGAGTGTTGGAATTCTGAGTGTGAAGGTGTCTGGCTGTGTAGAGGAGTGTTGGAATTCTGAGTGTGAAGGTGTCTGGCTGTGTAGAGGAGTGTTGGGATTCTGAGTGTGAAGGTGTCTGGCTATGTAGAGGAGTGTTGGAATTCTGAGTGTGAAGGTGTCTGGCTGTGTAGAAGACTGTTGGGATTCTGAGTGTGAAGGTGTCTGGCTGTGTAGAGGAGTGTTGGGATTCTGAGTGTGAAGGTGTCTGGCTGTGTAGAGGAGTGTTGGAATTCTGAGTGTGAAGGTGTCTGGCTGTGTAGAGGAGTGTTGGAATTCTGAGTGTGAAGGTGTCTGGCTGTGTAGAGGAGTGTTGGGATTCTGGGTGTGAAGGTGTCTGGCCGTGTGGAGGAGTGTTGGAATTCTGAGTGTGAAGGTGTCTGGCTGTGTAGAGGAGTGTTGGAATTCTGAGTGTGAAGGTGTCTGGCTGTGTAGAGGAGTGTTGGGATTCTGAGTGCGAAGATGTCTGGCTGTGTTGAGGAGCGTTGGGATTCTGAGTGTGAAGGTGTCTGGCTGTGTAGAGGACTGTTGGGATTCTGAGTGTGAAGGTGTCTGGCTGTGTAGAGGAGTGTTGGGATTCTGAGTGTGAAGGTGTCTGGCTGTGTAGAGGAGTGTTGGGATTCAGAGTGTGAAAGTGTCTGGCTGTGTAGAGGAGTGTTGGGATTCTGAGTGTGAAGGTGTCTGGCTGTGTAGAGGAGTGTTGGGATTCTGAGTGTGAAGGTGTCTGGCTGTGTAGAGGAGTGTTGGAATTCTGAGTGTGAAGGTGTCTGGCTGTGTAGAGGACTGTTGGGATTCTGAGTGTGAAGGTGTCTGGCTGTGTAGAGGAGTGTTGGGATTCTGAGTGTGAAGGTGTCTGGCTGTGTAGAGGAGTGTTGGGATTCTGAGTGTGAAGGTGTCTGGCTGTGTAGAGGAGTGTTGGAATTTTGAGTGTGAAGGTTTCTGGCTGTGTAGAGAAGTGTTGGTGCATGTGGAGGTGTTAAAACAAAATATTTCTTCATTTGATAGATTCATTTATTTTATTGCACAGCAGCTTAGTTCGAGTATATACATAAAATAACAAGTTTAGAATATCTTTTTATAAAAAAAAATAAAAGTAATTAATGGGTGCTAACACTGTAAACTAGCTGGATTACTATTGCTGGTGATTGATATGTAAATTACTGCCATAGTTAATCATATACAGTAAATGCATGTAAATTTCACTGGTATGTAATTTTAATATTTGATTATATTTATATATTGTATATTTTTTACATGTTTTGTGGATTTCCCTTCAGTAAATCCCAGTGAATAATTAATGCATTTAAGTATAATATCAAGCACCTCTGATCTGATACACCAACAAAGTTCAACCCAGGCTAACATAAATGATTTTACAGTATCCACACACGCATATGACTTCTATTTTGCATATTAGTGTGTATTTTATTATTCAAGCTCAATAATACAGACCATGAAGTCACAATATGTGACTAGGATTTTGCTGCATTATAAAAGTGATGAATTTAATCTACACATAGTCCGCTCATATGAATGGCTCAAATATTTATGTACACAATATATTTTTACCACATGTTGTATACATTGCATGGGACCCACATTAAAGTTGACATGATGCAACGATCACAACCGTTAAAATTTATCGCTAAATGGCAGAATGGACGTAGTGCAGTCCATTTGCCATCAACAGAAGATTTTCAAGATTCTCTGATGTCAATTTACCATGTTGTATCAGACATGATCTTGTATTAAGTATACAAAGCATGTAAAATATGAGTACAATGACTGTGAAACTTGTTATCAATCATGCTCAGATCACAGAAAGTTATAGCACTTGCTCATGAAAAACGTATAGCAAATTTGGAAGACTTTGCTGAAATTCTATCAACCAACCTTTATGTGAGTAACCAGTTTCCAGGCATTGAATCACTGTTGTCTCTCCTGACGAGTCTGGTACACTCATCCAGGGTATGGGGTCAATGCTTTTCTGTGTTCAACTCTGAGTAGGATTTGAACTTGGGTCTGCCAATAATGAGTTCACTGCTACAACCACTATGGTAACGATAAGAGTTGCACTGCATACTAGTAGTATGGGTCCCATGTGACATACACAAGCCGTGTAAAATACATTGTTTACATGGTATTCACATGCAGTATTTTAAATGAAGAAAGCTGCATATTGGTACTTTAAGAAAATCTCTGTATATTTTATAAATGTACAGAAAACATAGACATGTATTTACATAGGAATATTGCATAGATTCTGGAGTAAAGTTTGATTCCCATTTCCAATTAAAACCAACAGTAAATTAAGTAAAATTCGAATTGAAACTTAAAAAAAGACAAGAAACCAGTAAAACAGCATGAAATCTAGAAGTGTTACATGTTTTGAATTTCTCTAAAGCATTAGCATTGCTATAACGTATTCAGGGTTTCTACCCACATTTTACAGGTTTTCTAGGCCACACTTTTGAGATTTTCTGCTATTTTGACAAAATGTGGGCACCCTCGCCCAAAATCGAAATTACATTATCCAAACATGTAAATATCAGGAGGTTGCACATACGATAAATGTCTCTTTACTGTAATATATAAAATTCAGAATTTCGATAATACAAATAAAATGTCTGTATATACTACACATGTTTTATAAAAACTATTCATATACATCTCCAATATTGACTCTGCATAGCGGAAACCAAGTGATAACACTACAAGGTCTCCTCAAACATGTGCATATGTAAGGATGTCCAAAATGGGACGGATAGTATAGTTCAAAATTAAAAAAAAAAAACATTTATATATTTAGCATTGCAATAGCATTCATTCTCTGCCAGGAAATATAAGCTATTCACCATAGAAACCCTGTCTTCATTCACCATGGAAACCACAGAAATTCCAATAAGCTTACACTAAATTCAGATCTTGAAACAATGTTGTATAAATCAGCCAATCATGGCTGAGCATGCACACATGACCTTTGTACAAATTTTAATTTGCCAATTTGAAATGAATTGTAATTTAAATAATGCCAATAATTCCTGTTCTGTACTGTACTACCACAAAAATTATAATCAGAAAAAAATAATAAATATATGAAAGTATTTCAGACAAAATCTAAATTTGTTGGCACAGCCATCATAAGATGATGTTTCTCTCACAGTGAAATTGATAATCACTATATACCAAATTTTCTATGAGGAGCATGCCAATTCAAATTCAATATGGCTGTCAAATGCTTTTGCACTGATTCATCTCAAACTATAAACTCCCATGAAATTTTGGTTAAAAAAATAAAAACAAAGAAATTACATGTTTTTAATCTAATGAGGGCAGTACATAGACACTTTCACAGACTTTTCAGTCATGAAATACTTGTCACAAAATTTGTTTTTGGTATGTAGTTATTTCTGTTACTTCAATTATCATGGAGATAACTACACACCAGCATGTCAATTTATGGTTATCAAACCACAGTCCCACTAATCGAACACATACCGGTACATGTAACACAAGCGTAATGATTCTGGTTTCATAAAGAGGCAGTAAAAACATCAAAATTTGGAGTTTTTCCCAATATGGAAATCCTATACCAAATATTTTGATGAGTGGCATAAAAGAGAAGCACGAATAGCAAAGCCTTGTACTTTGCGAAAACATGTCACTTTAGCTCCTTGCTGAATATTCAAATCACCTAGCTGCATCAGTAATATATTCACACAAAGCAGAGGCCGGACTACGTTGGCAAAGGATGGCTGGCAGGATATTTTGCATCTGTTACGACAATGTCCATTTCTGTGAGTAACTATCAGCATCGCATGACGTCACAATCAATCTACCTTGCACCCCCCTGGCCTGACGACTGTCCAAGCAAAGACCAGTCACTTGATGCTTCAACAAACTACCTTCAATATATTGCCATTTCTGTTGAGAAAACATCTTGTGTTACAATTACAAATTCTTTACTAAAACAGAACAGACATAATCATAGAATATCCATGTGAAACATACCAATGTAGACAATGTGTGTATGTGATTATAGCAATTTCTACTGTGTTATACTTCATTGATGATCACAGTAATTTATTGCCTAAACAAATGCAATGCTAAATTGGCAAATTCCAGATGACCTTTAGGCAAATTTCAGATGACCATTAGGCAAATTTCAGATGAACTTTAGGCAAATTCCAGATGACCTTTAGGCAAATTTCAGATGACCTCTATAGATAAGCACACTTACTTGCTTTGCGTCTCTATTACACGCTGCAAGGAACACCTTTGAATTGGCGTCACCAGAAACCACGGTCAGACAGGCATCTTTATGACGTACAGCCTCATCTCTGCCCATAGACCATTCCTGTAGTCATGGAAACATACAACAATTTCATCAATGATACAATAACTATTACAAGTTCAGGATATTGACAAATGCCATGGCGATAGAACTCATGTGATTACCCCCAGAACCATTCCTAGCTGGCATTTCATGAAAATGATGAAATTTCAATTACAGTTAGTTTTCCCTCAATGATATCTTTACATTATCACCAATGCTTGTAAAACACTGCTTTTGTACAGGTGGGTATCTGTCACATAACAGCTGACTTGCCATATGATTACACTATATTGGGAGATATCGGTCAAATATTTTACCAGACCTTCAAGTCTTTCCAGTTGCTTTACCTGATTGCCACCAGTTCCATGACATTTGTACAGACCAAGGACACCAATCCCTGTATTTTTGGAAGATAAACTATCAAGGCACATGTCAGCTTGTTTAATTTCGATAACTGTAATTGTATCAGGAATTCTGTGAAAGTGAAGAATTATTTTAGTCTTAAAACAAACCATAATCACACCACATTCCTGTAACACTTGATAACAATAATTTTGTCATTATTTATAAACAGGTGACAATTTTATTATCAAAGATAGAATGATTATATTTGCACTCTCCCATTAATCAATGGTAAAATCTGATTTCATATTCAATGATCCTTCAAATATTGAAAGTAATTTTACTGTGTGGCCTGAACTTAAAAACCAGGGTGAGATATAAAGTTGTTCATATAACCACAGGGAGTTGGACAAACTTTAAATTTCGGGCACAGCATTTCTTGTTTATTAATGCATCTCATGAATAAATTAAATGCCCACCGGCTTTACGGTTGTGCTCATGCCACAGTCCTGGCGCGTTTCAACCCTTGGGATATTTTATTATAATAGGGTGTGTCTACATCAAGCGTTAAAATTTACATATAACATTAACAACGATTATGATAAAGGAAAGAGTGGTATAAACAAAGATCAATGATTACTTGAAATCAATACCAGAAAGGAGGGGGAAGAAAAGTTATATAACATTTTAATAATTTATTAAAATACACAAGTTTGTCCAACTCCCTGTGACACAACTGTTTATGATTACTGAATGACAATTGTATATAACTTATGTACTTCATTTTCTATCTTAGCATCCCATAGTCGACTATGAATGAACAGACAAAAAGAAAATAACAGTTATTAATGATAATATACATAATTCATACTAGTTTATACCTTGCGATCTCCTTGCAATAACCTCATAATACATGTACTTGTTCAACCTTCGATGTTTTTGTAATAACCCCATAATACTCACTTTAACTCTGGTCGATATTTTCGTAATAACCCCATAATACTCACTTTAAGGTAGCGAGACTATTATTTGTGTTGAAAATTACGATTTTCACATTTATTTATTAATTGATGAAATGCACTATAAACTTTCATGTTATAAAGTCAACATAATATAGAATGTCATGTAAGTTGGTTAAAATGTAGATTTTCTGAAGGGAAGCAAGGCAGCCTCAGTAGTGTTTTCCAAAATCAGCAACACAGGTTTAATCTGTGTGCC